ATAGTGTCACTATGAGACAGTGGACCACCTGTGTGTTCCCTTCCAGATAGCAAACATCATTCCATTCCACCTCATTAATGATGTTTATGGGTTCTCTGTCAGTGATACCCACACCTCATGTGCACAGTCCCACCCAATCATTTGGTGGGAGTCACCAAGAAAGGGTGACCAAGGTGCACCGTGACCAAATTTCACTCCACCATACTTGCTGCCCGTTGCTTGCTATGACCCACACGGTCAAATGCCTTGGTGTAGTCGGTAAGACACTGGTATTTTTTGCTTTCAACCATGATCCATTTGACGCCACAATGACATCCCTGTTCCACGCCGTCTGGTGACTCCAGCCTGAACCTCTGACCGCTCCCGTCACTGTCCTGCTGCAGTCATGTGCTAATGACCCTCAGCAAAAGCTGACTCGCGTGTCGCGTCAATGATGTTTTTCTACGATTTACACTTACTGTCAGGTCACCTTTGTTTGGAATGGGCTCACATATGGATCTCTTCCAGACTGTAGGCCAAGGAGTTTTCTTCCAAATTTGTGGCCTAGACCAGCGAGTGCTTCTCATCCTTCGTCAGAGTGTCTACTCTGCTGCTCCAGGAATGTCTGAATAGGTAGCTCATTCATTCCTGGAGCCTTGCTTTCACCAGTAACTTCGCTGCAACTCGGACTTCTTCCCTCAGTACCACCGGCTCTTGCTCATAGGCTGCCTCCTGAAGTGGCTGAATGCTGACCAGTTCTTTTTTGGTACAGTGACTCTGTATTCTCCCCATCTTCTTTTGAAGCTTTTTACATCATCCAATTTTTGCCCATGGTATCCTTCAATATTGCCGCTCAAGTCTTGAATGTTTTTCTTTAATTCTTACAGCTCGAGCATCGCCAAATGTGCTCTTCCCTTTCGGCTTTCAAACTCGGGGTCTTTGCACATTCGGTTATAACGTTCCTCTGTCTCTAGAGCTCTTTCACTCCAGCGTTTTCTTCCTTTCTGTTCAGCTCTTCTGTGTGCAAGAGCAAGTTTCGGTCTTTTCTGGTGCCCACTTTGGTGTTTGCTTTCTTCCCTGTCGGTTTCACGGTCTTGTGCTTTTTTTAGATGCAGAGTGACATTGACAGCATCTCACAGCTTGTCTGGTCTTCAGTGACCGG